TCGCCCAGGGTTCGGACTTTTCTGCCCAAACTTTGGAGGCCCACATATCCCGCATTCCTAAACCAGACAAAGATAATTCTCTATGTACAAATTATCACCCCCATCTCACTCCTGAATGTCAACATTAAGTACTTATCTAAATTGATTGCCAACAGGCTCCAACCTCTCCTCCCTAGTTTAATTCACTCAGACCAAGTCGGGTTTGTGATGGGGCGTGAGGCTAGGGATAATACCATCAAAACTGTCCTGCTTATGCAACATGCCCAACAATCTAAAACTCCTATGTGCCTCCTGTCGGTTGATGCCGATAAGGCTTTTGATCGCCTGAGTTGGCACTTTCTCAAACACTCCCTGTTACAGATTGGTATCCGACCCCTCATGCTCCGTAACATCATGGCCCTGTACTCTCGCCCCTCAGCGCGTGTCCGGGTCAACGGCTCTCTGTCTCCGAGCTTCCAGATCTCCAATGGCACCAGACAAGGATGACCGCTATCCCCTCTCCTTTATGTGCTTACCATGGAGCATTTGGCAGTCGCCATCCGCCAAAACACGGCAATCCCGGGTCTGAAGGTGGGGCCCATTTGCTCTAAATTAGCGCTCTTCGCAGATGATTTACTTCTATACGTGACTGATCCCCGTACGGCTATGCCCTCTATTCTACACGGATTTGCCCGTTTTGGTACATCCAGCAACTTCAAAGTGAACCTGTCCAAATCAGAAATACTCAACGTGTCTCTGACGCCCAGGGAATTGCGTGCACTTCACACGAACTTCTCGTTCAGAGTATGCCCCACCTCTGTGAAGTATCTAGGGGTCCACCTCCCCGGAGATCCCTCTCAGCTGTTCGCCCTGAACTATGACCCTCTCCTTCCCAGAACCGCCCTAGACTTAGCAGGGTATAACCGTAAAAACATCTCCTGGTTGGGTAGGATCAATGCTCTAAAAATGGATGTTGTCCCCAGATTTGTGTACCTTTTCCAGGCGCTGCCGATCCTCCCCCCGTCCTCCTTTTTCAGAAACCTGCAACGGATTTTCACAACTTTTATTTGGGGTTCGTCACGCCCGAGGGTGAGCTACAGAACATTGTCATTACCCAAAAGTAGGGGGGCGCGGGAGCCCCAGACATACGCAATTATCATGCGGCATCTCTTCTACTCCGCGTTTCTGATTGGTTTCACAGGGCCCCAAACAGTGGGTTGGGATTGAGGGAGTGATTGCTGCATCGGATCTAACTGCAATCCCCTGGATTCCCCCGGCTTCTCGTAATCTGCCATCGCCACCGCCTATTCTGACTCTCCATGTACTGCGCCTGTGGGATCGGTGGGTTTCCCGATGCGGAATCTCCTCCTATATTGGACCCATGACCCCGCTTTTCAACAACCCAGCCTTACCCCCTGCTCTACATAGATGCTCCTTTGGGCGGTGGACTATGGAATCTCACAGACGATTGGTGGTGGCCATGAGAGAACACACGTTAGATCCGCCCGTATGCAATATGTGGTTGACAGGCAATTTCACTCCTTTGTGTCCTCCTTCCCTCAGCCGGAAGCTCTGGAGGTGGAGCCTACGGCCTTCGGCTCTATTCTTTTACAGCCCTCCCCCCCTGCTCATACCATCTCGATACTTTACTCTCTCCTATCAGCTCTCTCCTCTTCGGAGCGTCCGAGTTATGTCCAGAGGTGGGAGAGTGAACTGAACCTCCCCGTTAGCGAGGAGGAGTGGGGGAGATCTTTTGTTCTCTCACACTCACTCTCCGTCGCAAGTAGGGCCCATGAGAAAAACTTAAAAATTCTAACCAGATGGTATAGATGCCCTGCGGTGTTACACAGCTACTATCCTCAGGTTCCAGACTCATGCTGGCGTTGCCAAGCCTCACCCGGAAATATGACCCACATCTGGTGGAGCTGCCCTCCGATAAAGGCGTTCTGGCAACAGGTACTGGACATCTACCACAGAGTGATGGGTTCCGAGACCACTAATGACCCCAAGATTGCACTGTTGAGTATGATACAAGGCTCCCTGAAATCGGTGAAACGGAGGCTATTGAGGCACTTCTTGACAGCTGCAAGGGCAGTCATTCCCCGCCACTGGCGTACGCCGGTAGTCCCCTCCTTGGCGGAATGGACCCTGGAAATGGACCGTATTGCGGACCTGGAACGATTGCTGGCAGATGAACATGACACCAGAGCCAAATACACTGTCACTTGGTCTATATGGCTCGACTTCCGGGCCTCTGCTGGGTTCACGACTGAGATCCTCCCTTAAAAAGTCTTGATGGTTTAGTGGTGCTGTGGAGGGGGGGGGGGCGCCCCTTGAAACCCTTAATTGTGGGCTCCCCTCATGCAGTGTTCCCTCTTAGTGAGGTGCTCCCTACCCCCTGACCCTTCCTTATCCTCCTGCTTTCTCTCCCCTTCCATCCTTCGTTACTATTTTTCAACCTATATATTCTCCCTATGTCTCTACGTTTATGATACACTTTGGGCGTGATTATGGGACTATATATAGCGACATTCCCAGGATATCAGTGAGCTGGTATAGGCCAATCTACCCTACTATTGATGTCAGCCTTATTAATGCTTCCGCTGTGGAGGTATCACGTACCTGGTAGGGAGGCCGAAGTGAGAGGAGGCTTCTCTTGCACCTCGTTTCTTGTGACCTGTGAGGTTGAGGACAAAGGTCAGGCAGACAGGGAGAGGCACGAGTCCTTTAGGAAAGTCCAGTAATCGAGGTCACAACGAGCCGGGGTCAAAAGCCAGGAAATCCAATTCAGTACAAGTAGGGAGCAGGCCGAAGAATATCCAAAACAGTCCGAGGTCAAAAGGCAGGCAGCAAGCAAGGATGGTCGTTTTCACAGGAACAGGTCAAATCCAGGGGAATCAGGTATATACAGGACGAGGCTAAACGGGAGACAAGGAACACGATCAAGCTGACAAGACAAACCAGCAACTAGTGGGCGTTTGAGCTGGGCTTAAATAGGGCGGTGAATCCATCTATGATGTAACTTCCTGTGCGCCTCTTGGCGTGTATTTGTTCTTAGCCGCGCCTGCGCGTATTTGTTCCCGGCTGCGCCTGCGCGTATTTGTTCCCGGCTGCGCCTGCGCGTGTTTGTTCTCCGCTGCGCATGCGCAGAGCGGGAGTTTCGCTGACAGGAGGCGACATTGCTGGAAGGCATATGACAATAATGCTACTGTCCGCTCACTCACTGATTAGACGGAATAGAAGGTGTAGGTTTTACCCCGAATATACCATTGTCATATAACACGCTGTGTATCATGTATTCTTATGCAA